ATCGTTATCGTGTATGCGCACTGCTAACAAGTACCACACTACAATACAACCATTTACCCTGATTACAATCCAATCATATTCATTGAGTTACAATAAAGTTGTAACCACAACAACCACAACAACAAAAAGAAAAGAGAAAAAAGGCAAAAAAAATACCTTAGTTTGATTAGCGAATAAAACAGATGTCTTCTTATGTATGGTTTAATTATTTTAATTTTTTCTTTTCGCGCTTAAAAACACAAATTGATTTCTTGAATAAAAACAAACAAAATAGAAATAAAACATAAAAAATTATCTGTAAATGAAATATTTCAGTGAATTTCTCGTTTCCTTTGATTTATCCATTTCAAAACAGATACAATGATTCTAAAATGCGCGCGTGTGTGTGTGCATGTGCGTGTGTGTGTGTGTGTGTGCGGAGGTTGCAAGCGTGCGCTTACATGCGTGCGTTTATGTGTGTTTTTATGGTAGTTATAGGGAAGCGGTTAACTAACTATACCTTTCACTTATATTGAAAACATATGGATAGTAACAAAAATTATTATTATTATTATTATTATTATTATTATTATGCATCTTTAGTTTGTTATTGTTTGTTTTGTTTATTTTTCTTTCAAGAATATACAAATATTAGTTCTATAGAATCCAATGAGTTCAATGCATAGTAACTAATTCATGAATATATATGGATCAATTGTTGATGGAATGTCGTTTTCTTAATGAGTATAACATATTTTTATCATCTCTCTATCTATATATAGTAAGAGATATGATTTCATTAAGAAGTAGACATCTGTTATCTAATTGTGTAAAAATCTTAGAAAAATTGAATTATTACATAGGTATATCGTATGTTTCAAATCATAATCAACATTCTTCAATGTGTAGGTTGAATGAAAAATGGTTTCTTCTTTTGTTTTTTTTTTTGTTTTTTTTTTGTTTTGTTTCTATGGTTTGAATGTAGTAGAATATGTTATTATTATTATTATTATTGAAGACTATCAAGATAGTATAGGAAACCTGTTCAGTGTTCTAGGTCCTCATCAATTTACTCTTTAAAAATGAAGATAGAGTTTTAGGAATGAATCAAAAACAATGATGAAATTTTTAAACAAAGATGGATAGTAGCTAGTAGTGGTAGCTAGTTTGATTCATGTTTCATCCTATATGGGATGAATCAACTAGATGTACCTGAATCTTAGAGTTGATGTTAATTGTGAGACTTTAATCCATTACTATTCACTTCAAATGTCTTCGCGTCATTCATTTAGTAAACATCAACTCTGAGATGCAGGTACATATAGCTGATGAGGCCCAAAATAGGACGAAACATGCGTCAAACTGGAATCCATCGTTAGCCACTATCCATCTTTGCTTAAAATAAAGCTTCTGATTTAAGGTAATATCTAGACAATCGTATAGGATGCATATATGCCAACATGAGACTGATCGATCGTAGTTGTAAATAGTAATGGGAAGATAAAAGTACAACAACATCAAGTGAATTTAAATAATGAAATTTATTATAGACCGAGGTTTATAATCATTGAAATTTGGTAACTGGTAAGTGGAATCAAACTGAAAGATAAATCAACACTGGATAAACGTGTATAGCATAATCAAGTTGTTTTAATATGTCAAATTGAAAGATAATAATTTTGGGTTTAAATTTGAAAACCGATACTTGAATCGAACCAAACCGAATTAAACGATCATCCAAGATCTTACTGTTAGCAGTTTTCAAACTTTACTAAAATACTTGTGAACATCAGATTAACCGAATAATATCATGTTATGTTCCAATGGCCTGTCAATTATCACGTAATACAATTGCTAATTAGAACGCCAACTTACTGATCAAGCCAATGCCATATAAGCCAGTATGAACAGTTCAGAGTCAATCCTGAGTTCCTGTTGGTCTATCGAGATAGTAGTTTCTCGCCTAATTCTAAAATAAGTCAAAATATCAACCTAAAGATTATTGTGACTTTAAGCCCGGCTAATTAGCACGTGATTTATTCTCTCATCGAAATATAACTTATTCAATCTTAGTACTGTGTCAAACCAATCACGTATCAACCGGTGTAAACATTCATTTTCCTCCTAACCCTATCAGTTCAGTCCAGTACACTAATATCAACCTCTGTTATATGAATCATGTATTTCAGACATACGCAGCTAATACATAAGTAAATCAAACTGCGTCATATCATAAAACAGAAAATACTAATTATACAAGATCAAGCCAAAAGTGGCTGTCATTGTGAGAGACTGTTACTAATAAATTGGGAACATCTTAAGATTTATAAACCGTATAATAATACCAGAAGGGGTTTTGTGGATATCATAGTAATTTTTCATAAGTGAATTGATGAGTCAATTGAAACTAGACCACGTTGGAGATCCTGGAAGCTTTAAACGGCCGTTCTGTCCTATTGTAGGACTCCTCAGAAGTGCGCATCTATGATCCCTTCTGGCAAGTTTCGAACCCAGGACCCATTGATCTGGTTAAGTTGTCTATAGGTTAAGCGTTCGCGCACGAGACCGATAGGTCATGAGTTCGTATAATGATAACCTACAGATCAAATGAAAGCTTATAATAAAAGAAATATTGATATACATATAATATAGTTATTTAATAATCATACAATAAGTACATATATAATAATAGTCCACTAATAGATCCTAGCTGTTACCATTCACCTATTCTTCGTCCGGGTACAACACATCAATCAAGCTGAATTGCGACCACCAGCTCAGTGGTCTAGTGATTAAGCGCTCGCGCGTGAGACTGATAGGACCTGGGTTCGAATCTCGTGAGGCGAGATCGTAGATGCGCACTGTTGAGAAGTCCCATACTAGGGCGAAACGGCCGTCCAGTGCTTCCAGGTTTCCAACGATGGTCTAACATCAATCGGTTCATGATCTCAATCAAAAAGAATTCGTAATGCACGATTTGTACTGTTTACTACTCATAAACTGGTTTTATCTACATTTCAGAGTGAAAGTTTAATCCAGAGTTCAAATTCAGTATTGTTTGTTTCAAAACTCATTGCATTATCTCATAGTCCTAGATCTCACTTCTAACTACATCACATTTATTCAATATCAACTGGAGTTATTATAACTATGCCGAAGTACATAAGCCAATCACAACTGATCAAATCTCAGTCAAAAATATCAATGATGAAATCATCAATCATTCATTTTTTATATCATCAATTAATAATATCAATTATCATTGTCTCACTATAATGCCTTTAATTTCTCCTATCTGAACAGTTTCAGTAAGAACTGCCAAGAATAACTTTGTTAAATACTATGTAAATCATCTGTTTTACAAATATTTAAGTAAAAAGATGATCGAAATGTGCCTTTTCCCAGATTGATTCTACGGTGATACTATAAGAACCAGTCAGATTTAGGACAATAGATCTTTGATTTCGGCACGAAATTCATTCACTCATTTGATGAATTAGAGTTTTGGCATTTTACCTGATGTCAGTTCGTGATGTCAACACTAAATCTAATTTCTAACCTTAACCATCAAATGTAAATCATAATCCTTACTCTTTACGCTGCTTTATAACCTTCATTTCACCTTAGAATGTGAACTGACTATCTCAAGGTTACTTCAGCAATATTCAAAGGTCATCCATTAAGTATAGTCTCACCAATCCTATGTGATTTAACAATGTTCTGTTAATTAATGAATATAAAGAAAACTTTATCAATCAATAGACTGTTTAAATTCACTTGTTATTATCAGAATAGGTTTTCTGGAGAGTTTTAGAAATTTCACAGGTTGGAATCATGAGTCAGTTGAAGCTAGACCACCAGGTTTTCAATGGTGGTCTGGCTTCACTTGTTATCGTTTTACTTGTATCTGTCCATTGTTGTTTACGACTGCAATTGTTCAGTATCTAATTGACATATGTGTATCCTGTGCAGGTTGCCTCGATATTGCCTTCAGTTACAAGCTTTATAATCAAAGATCGATAGTGGTCAAAAGTGGAATCCAGTTTGATGCATGTTTCGTCCTATTCAAGACTCGTCGACTAGATGTAACTGCATGTCAGAGTTAATGTTCACTCTGAGACTCGAACCCAGCAGTGTTTGCTTCAAACTCCACCACGTTATCTATTTAACTACTGAATCCTGAAGTACACATCAACGCTGTTGATTGATTAAATGATTGACTAAATGGATGCCGGCTCAGTGGTCCAGTAGGTTAAGCACTTGCGCGCGAGACCGAAGGCTCTGTGTTCGAATCCCGCGGGCGGGATCGTCGATGCACACTATTGAGGAGCCCCACAATAGGACGAAACGGCCGTCCAGTGCTTCCCACGTTTCCAAAGGTGCTCTAACATCAATCAATTCATGATGTCAATCAAAATGAAAGAATTATTTTTCTTTCAGAGATATTTATATCTTGATTCATAAATTGATTTTCACACAGTTTCCCGTATATTCCGTATACAAACACATACACACACATAGAGCGAGAGAGAGAGAGAGAGCGAAACATTCACTGAGTAGTACCATCATTAAAATTACATTATCGATTCATAAAAGAAAATATTTTTCTTTCTCTCTCACTCTCTCTCGCTTGCACTATTTAATCTCTGTGCCATATATTTTATCCAATTATAATAAATGAAAATATCTCATTAATTCAATTGACCAATCATAATTCAAATCATATGACCTTAATCATTCCATTAAGATTAATGTAATATGATAGTGAAAATGCCAAAATCATAATGACAATTAACTGTTCCGTTAATTGAATCCAGCAACAATAATAAATAATAACACACAGATGAGAATACACATGCACACTCTCATAGATACGTACGCACGTATACGCACACGCATGCACGCACGCACACACACGCACAAATGTATTTGTACACCTACGCATTTTTTTTCAAAAATGCAATAAATATACTACTTAATTAAATGAATAATAAATGACAAAAAGAAAAAGTAAAAAAAAAAGAAAACAAAAACAAAATAAAAATGAATAAAATAGAAATTCTTTAACTGTAAATAAGAATTCATACATTTATAATTGGATAAACTCTTGATAATATTGAACTCAAATTATAGTTTGGCTTTAAGAATTGCATCTATCAAAGAAACGTGTAGCTTTATACATCTATATATAAAGAGAAAGATAAGGATATACAGATACCGATTTATAATACGTGAAAGTGATACAAAAAGTCAAATTGTTTACAGTTCCTTATACATTTACAATAAATTATCATGTCTATTTCATATGTTGATGATATATCTGATGGTCAAGGGATATTTATCTTTGTCAAAATACTTAGAAGGTAAGATTATTCAAATGGATAGATAATTTCATATTATGATTTCGTTGTTTTCTTTTTGTTTTTTGTTGTTGTTGTTGTTATGATTGAAAGTAAGATTCTGAGTTTGAGTTTCATAAGGTTATATGGTGGGTGTGAACTATTGAGGAGTCTCATAATAGGATGAAATGACTATCTAGTGCTTTCAGGTTTTTCATGTTGGTCTAGCTTCAATTGACTCAGGAATTCAACTTTAGAATTACTTAAATCTCCACAAAACCCCTTTTGATAATAATCATCGTATACTCACTAGTGACTGGTTTCAAGAGGTATTTCCCGGAGTTCTACTGAGAAGCAGTGATCAGTGGAGTTCAATCGGGTCTGTTGTGAGATAGTAACTCACTGATGACAATGGTGGATGTGTTTCTCAAATTCGTGGATTAGTTGAAGTTAGACATTAACAAGGTTGGATACCGGCTCAGTGGTGTAGAGGTTGAGCGTTCACGCATGAGACTTATTGTTCCTGGGTTCTAATCCCGCAAGGCGGGATTGTGAATGCACACTGCTGAGGAGTCCTGAAATAGGACAAAACAGTCGTTCAGTGCTTCCAGGTTTTCCACGGTGGTCTAGCTTCAATTGACTCATGAATTCAATTATTAGATGTATTTTAATAGTAAAGTATAGAATCACTTGGTAAAATATAAGAACTATTCATTGAATAGTTCATTTATAAATTTCCATTATTTGTTCATCACATTCTGTATGATTCTTTCAAGTTATCATTCTTATCTATTTTCATTTCTATTTTACTTTTCAACTTGATCTTCTTAACCTTCTACTGTTAAGATTTTCATTTTCGATTAGTGTTACATACTACTTATATTTGTTGACATATGTAAAATATACACCACATTGTGATAATGGTCTCGACAGTTATATTTACTTTAGATTAATTCCAGCAATTCATGTTCTTTTAATGATCCCAGTTTTAGTTGTTGTTGTTTTTTTCAATTTCTAGTTTACTCTTTTTTTTGCTTTAACAAAGTTGCCTAGAAACATCATTCGTTATCGATAAACGTTGAAGAACCTTCTTCAATGGAATGATTATAAGAATCAGTAATTAGATCTTATACTTCATTTGAGATCATCTCTAGTTACTTAACTTCATCAATTCATAGACAAATGATAATGTTGTATAGATTTCTAACTATCTCATAAGACCTACATAGTGATGTAAATAGTTCTAATCAATAAGAAGTAAATAAATCCAGTAACTAAATGAATCACTACTTTATTATTGAACACCTTGTTACCATATCGAAACTAAAATCAATAATTGATAATGATTTGAATGAATGCAATGCAAGTCATATGATTAAATATTTTACTCATATTGATTAATTTGGATTTCTGTATTAAGTATCAAGTTACAATCAGTGTGTGTGTGTGTGTGAGTGAACGAGTGAGTGAGTGAGTGAGTGAGTGAGTGAGTGAGTGAGATTTGTAGAAAATGCAATATAATCAATATTATTGAATATGATACTGAGTGAATAATGTCAAGATTTCCAGATCATCATTAATTCAATTAACTGATGACCTATTCATATATTGTTAGATATATTTATCTTGATAGTGATATTAATAGTTGAATTTATGAATCGACCATCATTGAAAATCTGGGAGCACTAAACGGCTGTTTTGTTTTACTATGGAAGTTTTCAGCAGTGAGCATCCACGATCTCTCATTAAAAGAACTTAAACACATGCTTAAAACCTAGACCATTGAGCTGACTGGTATCTAACAGTTTTAATATATAACTATAATCTAATTATAAACTACCTTTCTAATAATTATGATCATGTAGTTACTAGTGACTGGCTTCCTGCAGTTCTAGAGAGCAGCTCTGATCAATGGAATCCAACCCGTGTTGGGTAGATATACTTATCTACCTTAGAAAATGGTGAATGGTTGAAAAAGATCATGAATTGATTGATATTAGATATTAACAATATTGGATGCTGGTTAAGCGTTTATACGCGTTCACACGAAGGTCCCGGGTTCGAGTCCCTTTAGTGTGGGACTATAGATACGCACTTCTGAAGAATCCCATACTAAGACGAAACGACCATCCAGTACTTTCAGCTTTTCCATCGTAGTCTGACTTAAAATGACTCATAAAATTCAACTATTTAAATTATTACGATCCCCACAAACCCCTATTCTAATATCTTGATAGTATCTTGAAATCTAATTTGTTTTACTTATCATTATTGAGTTATTTGAGTCTTAGTTGTTGAATTCAAATCGTTTCATTGGATTATCTTAACAGATACCATACCATTTTATTTCTATAAAAAGACCAAAAAGAGAAGATATTTGTCATTAGTTAACAGAATCTATTCATTATCCTAGTTACACTAGATCAAATAACAATGTGATAAAGGATCAGTATGATTTATTTGTATTCATTAAGAAAAAATGAGACTTATTTTTGTCAAAAGGGGTTTTGTGGAGATCTTAGAAATTTCACTGGTTGAAATCATGAGTCAATTGGCGCAACTTGGTGGATTGGTTGAAATTAGATATTAACACCGTTGAATGCCGGCCGGCTCAGTGGTCGACAGGTTAAGTGCACACGCGCGAAACCAGTAGGTTCTGGATTTGAATCTCGCAGGGGGCGAGGTCGTGGATGCACACTGTTGAGGAGTCACATACTAGGACGAAACGGCTGTTCAATGCTTCCAGGTTTCCCATGGTGGTCTAGCTTCAATTGACTCATGATTTCAACTTATTTTTGTATTTTCAAAGCAATTAGTTCCATTAATATATCTCGATAATGTAAAAAGAAGACGAAGATGATCAGAACTATGTAATGATACATTTCGAACAATCTGATCACATAAATACTATCAAGTGACCCAATAAGAAAGTCCATGGTATAATGAAACCTACTGTAGTCTTGGTAGAAAAAAAGCCTGTCTACATCACCTTACCATTCAGAGGTGATTCAAATAGCCTTTTATTGAAACAAAGACTTAAATCAATCAGTTATCAATAAAACATAATGCACACCAAAGGTTATTATCAAAGAAAGAACAAGGTGAATGCTTCATCCAAAACCTAAAAGGTATGAAAACGATTATGTCACATCCCACTGTGTTTATCAATTTTAATGTGTGTGGTCACATATACATAGGGTGGAGCAATCGTGATCTCAAAATTAGAGTGTGTGAATATGTACCTAAATGGTTGCAGAAACAGGTACAATCAAGTGACCCAATAAGAGCAGAGGATAAACATCCATTATCCTCTATTGCTAAACATATAATTGAAACAGGCCATAAGATTGATCTTAACTAGGCTTTTGTGGTGTTGTATAAAAGTGTAAAAAGGCGTATACTAAGGTTTATTGAAGCCTTAGCCATACGAAAATTCAAACCCTTTTTTGTATTTATATTTACTCTATCAATGTGTGTGTGTGTATTCGGTCGATTGTTTATGAATACTCTTACTTATTAAAACACATAAATCTTGGTACAAGGAGACACCAATTAGATATGCATCATATAAATCGTTCGATTTGTGTGAGAGGTGAGATACTGTTCGAGTGCTCAAACCGAAGCAGGTGGCTTTCTTAGGGGGCCACACCCGGAGCTTTCGACCTGAAGGTCTGATCCATAAGGCAATGGAGCGACGTAAGCAGATGCCGTTACATGATAACCGATGACCATTAATTAGTTCTACGTCATTTGTTACTTCAGGATCCTGGAGCTCATATACATCATTGATTTGGAATGAGGGTCTTCCAACTGCCCTAGATAGAACTTCCGTGTCTACCAACCCTGTTGAAGCACCGAACATTTACTTTTCGTCCTCTCGATTTCGTAACCCATACACCCGTTGCGAGAATGCGATGAGTAGGAAATCCCTAGCAATGATTGTATGCACGTGGCCATGTGAGATCGATTCAAGAGGGAGAAGTGACTCTCCCTACTCTCGGATATACCAGGGCATTTAGGGGTTATAGCTCAGTTGGTAGAGCGGAGGACTGTAGATTGGTGCAGTTTAAGAATACAATAAAAATCTAATGATTATATATCTCTCTACTCTAGGTATCTAGAACCAAAAATATAGTTAAAAAATTGTTTCGTCCCACTTTTTAAAAGCTTCAACAGTTGTGATTCACTACTAAGACTTTATTTAAATAAACAATTATTAAGTAGTGTAATGATCATTCAACTGCTATTAGACTTCAACTTTTGATTGAAATTATTATCAGTATAGGGTTTTGAAGATGATTAAGTTTTTGATTGAGATTATAAACCGATTCATGTTAGATCAACATTGAAAATGTGGACGACCGTTTCGTCTTATTGTGGGACTCTTCAACAATGCGCATCTATGATCCTACGATCATTGAATCCCGTGAGTAGGATCGTGAAATTATTTTTTGTAAAACTTACTTTCAATAAACCATCTAATAAATGACCGATTGGTTAACTATAACCATTGGAACTAATTCATTCACAGATGGAACAGTATTTTTATTGATAATACTACATCTGAATTACATCAAAGTCTAAAGTTGACTAACGTTGTAAAATACAAACTATAATTTATTCCATCTGTTTGATTGAATCAATTTGTATACACTACGTTACATGACTGTTCATAGACCATTAGAAGACATTATAAGCAATGGAATGCTTATGAATTCAGGCAATATCTAAGCAGTCCGCATTAGATACACATATGTCAATCAGAGACTGATCAATTGCAATCGTAAACAACAATGGAGATGTAATGAACAGAACACCAGTGGGGACAATCGAATCATATTTAGCACAAAATTACAAAGTTACTTGGTAAAATAGAAGAATCACACTATAATACATAATTTGCAAAATGTTCAATCATTGTCTCGAACTTCGTTGTTCTTTCATTTCCATATTAATTGCTCTTTATTCCCATTCTTCCTTTCTTGATCTTCCCCATCTGCTGCGCGTCAATGCACCACAGAGAG